TGAACTTTAAAGTAAAACATTTTCCGTATATCTTTCCTATTTAAATCCCCATCAATTAGAATTAAAAATGAATTTATAGATAAATTAATAAGAAAAATATAAACTGCGTTGTGGTACAGCAGCCCGAAGTGCGAATGAGTGTCAATTCTGAAATTCATGCCACTAGGGTAATGTGTTCCAATCTTGTATCAACAATTTGCCTGATTGCAAAAGAAACTTCATTGCTGTTTCAATAGTTATTTAAGAGATCAAATAACGCATTTATAACTACCCTTTCCAGAGATATATTTTCGCAAATTACTTCTTTGCGTGCACCCTTATCCGTCTGTGAAATCAAATACCATGGTTTCGAAGCCAATCGGTGCACTCCTAGCAAGGGCAATTGTAGTTTATCAACATCGAGATTTCATGATTCTTCTCTCCTAACCATTTTGGATGTTAAGAGAGCTTTTCAAAGCCAACTTTAAAAGTAACGCTATTCGACCACATTTTGTAGATGAAGCAATATACCAATGAATCTCAATTCGCTTATTGCTGACTTTGTAATTACAATAAATGCTATTTCACAAAAACAGAGATGAAAACTGTTCGGTGTAGAAACAGCTACTACCTATTGCATAAGTGGCCCTGTTATAGCCGTCTAATTGTTTTATAGATTTCCATTGTTACTGAACAAATGAAGGGTGTTAATTGAAGCCATCAATAGGCAGCAAGTGGTTGCATTAAAGATACGAGTGGGATAGGTTAATTCAAAGTTGAAGATATGCCCGTTTGGTTGAAGAATAGATTTGAAAAAAATGAGATCGGCGATTTGCAGATGTTTGCGTAATTCAATTTTGCCTTACACAAACCAACTAAACCATTATAGTCCTATTACATTTAAAACGGCGTTTGACAATTGAAATCGAAAGGCGTAGTTTTGAATATTTGACCAGTGTTTTAAAAGAGAGAAAACTTGTAAAAATTATTAAAAATATGAAATGTTTATAGAGAAAAATGTTTTTAGCTATTTTTTAATTTAAATTCTGGAATAAAGGAGCAAACTAATTATAAAATGTTTAATAATTCGCCTCCTTAAATTTTTTTATCAAGCACCTTGAACTCAGGTAATTAAAGAATATTTAGCGCTTTTGTGCTGAATATATAATAAGATCATATTGATTTTTCAGTCACTTGAAGAAGAACAATGAACTGAAAGGACAAGACTAATCTTTCCTTAATTAATTAAAAAAGATAAACAAGGGCTTGATATCGTAGTCAGACGTTTGCCGCAACCCACGGAAAGGATTATGAATTTTTATTATTTGAAGATGAGCATCAAACTTGGTAAACATTGAGCAAACGAATCAATTATCAAACTATGTATGACATTCTCCCTGCTTCGATGCTGTCCTCAACATCTCTTTGTTACTAGCTATTTGTCATTCGCTGGACTCTATTAACTTATTTCAGCTACCTTTATTAATTATAAATTGGGAATTTTTTGAGATACTGTGAGTTATTTTAATAATAAATCAATGATAAAATAGTCAAGTGAATACTAAATCATCAAACTTTTGAGAAATATAACTTAAAAAGATCCCATATACTTAAATGATTTTGAGGGTCCTTTCAAACTCTAAATATTTTATTAAGGAATGAACGATGTGTATCCCCTCTTGATATTTATTCAGTAGCACCAGGTGCGAATCTATTCCGAACCCAACAATATTACCAAACTCTCTCAGATAAACTCTCCGCACGTTTTGAATTTTACTTAAGTATTACCACAGCGCAGTGAACAGAAGCGCTGCAAATGCATATGAGTTGGGCAAAATCAATGCCGGCTACTCAACTTGGCCAACCAATCAGTGAAGAGGAGAAACGCAGGTGTCGTGTCGCGCGCTTTGCCTTGGAAAGATGTTTTGCAATTTAAGCCTCGCTTTAAATTACAGAAGATCCGCTACGGTTCTAGCAAAGATCCTATGAATGCAAGTTAATTTAATAAGTACTCCAACTACTAATTGCTTTATTCAATAAGGTAGACAAGTAGATAGAAAATATGTTTGCCAAAATTACCCTATGTAGGGCCGTGCGTTCTATTTAAAAGCGCCCCTTAGTGATTTTGGCTAAGTGGATGAAAGCACTGTTAAATGAATAGCGAATAGTTTCTTTTCAAAAAATTTGCTTGAAATTTCCCCACTGGCAAATTATCATAGGTTCTGAAATTGGTTTGGAAATCAATAATTATAGTACTAAATGATAGCTAGTAAAAAATGTTCGTTTAGAGTGCATGGAATAATGAACATTGGTGTCATAGAATTGTAAATAAATGCTCATAATGTGAATAATGACATTCTTTGGAGCACATAGAAGATTATTATTATTATTATAAAATAAATATAGATTCTTTATACAAAATCGGTTGATAGAAATTAGAACACAAATTCAGGAGGAGGGGATCGAGAAGGCGCTGAGAGAGGTGACAAGGCATCAAACAATTTTCTTCCAATTCCATTTTTGGTTTCGAATCTAATCATACTTATAAAATGGATAATTCAAATGTCAGAATTCGTTCCCTGAATTGCTGGGTGAATTCCCATTGATAACATTCAGTTCTCATGGTCCAAATTTTAGTCATTATGGTCAATCTTGACACTTCAGTTCATTGATTTTCCAGGGTTATGAAGGCACAATGATTAGGCTTCAATTTCATCAGCTCATGATCTTAAAACAATGGCGTTGAGGTAGCTAGTAAAGGACAAACTTGAATGTAAAATGGGGTCATTTCATTACCGTTTTCCACACTTAATAGTCCACTAATTAAATAAAGTTTCTACCTGAGATACATCCAACCATGTTCAAAGCAAAATCATGACACCAATTTTACTGGAAACGGAAAGCTTATTTGGGCGTCACATTAGCTGAATAGTAGAAAAACGGAAGTGAGTTTTGAGTTTAAATTTATTGATTGGCCATAATTAATTTAAAATGGCTTACAAGCAAGTACACTTTTAATTCGTAATAGGATAATTCCTGCAATCTTTTAGCGTATAGTTAAAATCGACATATTTTGATTGGTTAGCATTCAAACGAAATTGAGCGACTATGAAGATATTAATCCACCGCAGTCTGCAATATTCAGAATCTAAAAGTGTTTTTTATTATTTTATAATAAATAAATAAGTTAGCAAATATATACCTGAAGAACAAATACTTACATCTTTCAAACGACTCCGCGACATTTCACATTCGATTAGAGCCTTCTCCGCCTCACTTTCCCTCTGAAAAGCCTCATTTAGCTGATCTCGAAGTCTTTCAATTTCCTTTCTATCCGATTCAAGTCGGTCAATGCGAATATTAACGAGGCCGGAGTCAGCTGTCACTGCTGATCCAGTTTGATCGGTCTTCCCACCGGTGCCACCTTGCTGCTGTTGTATATTGGCTTGTTGTTGGGCCGCATTCGCTTTTCCCGACTTCACAGCCTCAACCAAACGACGCAAACTCTCCTCTGTGGTTACGAGGCTGTTTTGCATACTCACACACCTCTTTTCTGCTTCCTCAACCGATTTACTTAACAAACGATTCTCACAGGTAAGCTCGTCTATTCGACTGTTCAACGCCTCGATTTCATTGACTTCAGTTCCATCTTGTCCAACTTTGAATCGAGTAGCATTCTTTTCACGCTCGCGTCTCAATTCCGAATCGGAGTTATGCAGAGCTTGTAACATTGTCTAAAATAGGCAAAAGCACGAATAATTTACGTGATTGTACTGTTCGAGCATTTTTAAGTGTGAGCTTTCCGTGATGATTCAATGAACTCGATCAGATTTGGGGAAAGCGCAATAACGCCACTTCCTCTTTGATCATTCCATTCACTTGTAAACCACATCAAGGAAGAGGTGGGAGTAAAAATATGTGGATCACAGTTTCCAAATCAAAAAGCCAGTAGTGGAGAGTAACTAAATTGTACGGTCCAAATATAATTGAAACTCGAGAGAGAGAGAGAGAGAGGAAAGGAAAGATAAATAGGGAAAAACTGCATGATTATAGTGTCCGTATCAACACGTACATAATCCTCATATTCTCTTCTTTACCATGTGAATACTGTTTAATTTAAAAGAGGAAAGTACTTTATTTTTTTTCCAACTGTATTTATTGAACACAACGTAAAGAAATGCAAAAAATTAATTTCCACTCACTTTTACCGACTGACTTTTCAACAAACTGATATTATGGATAAGCGTAACTTTATTTCAAAGCAGAATCCTTTTGTATCCAAAAATTTGACGTTAAAATTTGTTTTAAACTGAATTTTACCTTTTTAATGAAAGACAATTACATCTTTCTGGACGAAATTATGTCTCTAGAGTGAACTCAGCTTCAAAGAGTTATTGTTAGTTCTTCTGATCTAACCCGTTCGAGATACCAACCTGGGTCTACCACCCAGATTTACCGACACATAAAGAAAGTGACATTGAAGTGATATATTCGAAAATCCTAATTAAGTAATCAATCTGTCAAAAGGACTGGACATACAGAAATTGAACTATCCATTAATTAAAGGGCGTAAAATTTGAATCCAAGAAATTAGATAAAGGAAGACCTAGTTTGCTATTTCAACATTTTTAAACGCATTCGATCATAATTTCCGTTACTTTAGAGAGTGTTAAATTGTATTATTCTTTAGCTTGCCTTAATTTATTATATAATAATCTTTAATGCGTAAAATATCGGATATGAAATTTTTTGCATCGAAGCATCTCGCTCAATTATGAAGAAAATACTTACAGATAACAGAGTTCGAAGTGTATAGCAGCTACTATTAAATTATATGAGCGTTAAAAATTCCGTTTACTTTCCATTTAAACTATTTTTTGTTTTAATCAATGCACGAATTTAATTCATGTAAAAGGACTTACTTTTTTAAAACATTTAATCCTCAGAATTAAAAAAAACGATCTCTCTTCCCCATAAGCATATAAAGGAAATGATTACTACAATTTTAGAGAAAGAAAAGATTAATTATGAGTTAGTTTGTTACAGCATACCTGTTTTTCTAATTGAAGTTGATGGAGGTGATCTGCAAGAATGGCATACTTAGCGTTCTCGTCTTTCCTCATTGCACGTTCACGCTTAAGCTCCGGACTCCAAAAGGTACGAATACTTGTCATACAGGCATTCAATTTCTCTTTAGTGACTTCTAGTTCTTGGTTAAGCCTGACGCACTCACACTGAAGGCTTATAACATCCGCACTATTTTGAAACGTCATCAACCCCGAACTCCCTCCTAGATTTGTACCATATCCACTATAGCCAGAAACACCGGAGAAATTTCTATAATCCATTACAGGATTCATAATTGGTGCACCACCGCCTAAACCATTCATTCGTTCACTTCCAACATTTCCATAATAATTGTATCCGCCAGGATTTGTGTTTATACCGGTCGACTGCATTGCATTAGTGTGTTCCGAAAGGCCTTGTCTTTCAAGATTCACATCATAAGATTGTGCCCTGCGGTTTCCCATGGACTGCGTGGATGTTATGCATGAATTTAATGGTTGATATGAAGTTGTTTGATCAATAATGTATCCAGGAAGATAGGCGGATCGACCATAGCGTTGGGCAGATGAATTCAGATAACCCCTAGGTCCAACAGGATAATTAGAGCCGCGGTCAGCTGATGTAGCACGCCCATCAAAGATGGTTGTAGTGCTGGGTTGAAGACGACTTTGTGGAGTGGCTGTTTGGTTATAAAATAAACTATCTAATAAGTCCGCGTAAACAGGATCTCGAGCACTGGATGGTCTTGGTCGTTCAGGATGGCGTTGGGGAACGGTCGCAGCATATGGATAATTGGGGTGAGGACTAGACAGATTAGATGCATACTGTATACTATTCATTAGATCTTCTTGCATCATTTTGTAACTATTTAAGAATTCCCATGCTTTTGGTTACTATATCTCCTTCGTTCATCCAAAGTACCCACTAGACGCCAAAGATTTCCAAGGTCATAGTTGCATATTGGACAAACGCTGGTAATTTAATCAACATTTATTTGTAAAATAAAAAATTAAAAAAATGTTAGTTGAGTTTATTTTAAAACTCGAATCTTAATTTGTAAAGGCATCAATTGTTATAAAAACAAAAAATATAAATTTCGCTAAAGGATTAAGAATTAAAGCATACAGAGATAATCTTTAGCAGTAGCATTATTGAAAAATAACTTATTTTACCTCTTTGGTTTCCTAAAGAGAGAAATCGTGCACTGTTGGGAAATTTTTGACTTTCAATATTTTACCGAGAGAAAGTTTCAATCATTCAAGTTTGGGTCAATGCAACGATTCGTGGACTATCCTTTTAGCATTGCATCTTAGAAAATACGACATGTATACCACCATATGCATATGTAAATATGTATAACTGAATCTATTCAGTTATTTGGGACTTTCTATGGCCACCATTTAGAGTATCAATTGTACGTAAGGATATTCATACTCCAAACGTTAGCACTTCGAGATAATCAAACTTAATCTCCCCCGCAAAAAAGTTGACATTTTTCTGTAGATTGCAAGCAGCCGATTTATTAATACATGTATGAATTATTTCTAAACAAGAAAATTAAATTAAAGGATGTGGTAGTTATTCAAGTGGAATTTATTAAAAAATAGTTTTATCATCTAAAGTAGCCGTCACATACAACAAAGAATAAAGTAAGATCTGAAATCCTTTCAATTTAAAGTTGTGCAAATATTGGAAGTAAATTCATCAAAGACCGACAATGTCATGATATGAATTTATGTGAGCCTAGTAATGTAGGAAGCGCATTTATGGTTCTGTTGCAAATATAAACGTGACTGAATATCATGGAAAAATTTCAAAATGTTTAATGATTTTGTTATTATATATTCCTTTAAAAATGATTTAGTGGATGGTATCTTGCGCAAACTACAAACGGAAAGTCAAAAATTAAATGTATAAATTTATTTACTTCAAATACCAGGCGTTGTGACAGTTGTCATTAGCCCTCTAGCAGTCTTCGGACTTCACAGAGGGGAGGAAAATCAAAGTTAAAAAAATTAGAGAGGGGAGGGGGGATAGGAACGAAAGAGTGTTTCAAAGATGTAAAAGAGACAGACACAAAGATAGAAAAATTTGAGGTGTGTACTGTAGAATTAGTCAAATATAGCATACATTGGGTTGATGTTAGTTTGAAGTAAGAAGTCAACTGCCGGTTGATAGTCTTTTTTTGCAACATGAGTATATGTTGCCCAGGGTGCACCACGTGGAAGTAAGTCAATCGCACACCCCTGAATGTAGAAATTAACTTAGCCTCAATTGCAAGTATTTATTTATCAAATTGAGGCCAGTAAAATTGAAGGCTTACCTGTGGATTAATAGGAAAACTCGAAGCAATGGCAATGCCAAAATTCGCAATTTTTCAAACTTATATTAGTTTTACATTAAATAAACTCGTCCAAAGCTCCACATAAGTAAATATTTTGAGAGACCCTCGAGAAACTATTGATTACTTCAATTAGTTACTTCATTAAATTCAGTGGTAATCTTATAGGTTTTAAATGATCTATGAAACGAATAGCACATCAGAGCAGTTTGGTTCAAAAGTACATATTTCAAAAGTTCAAGATGAAAAAAATCAACTAAGGTGGTTTTAATTAATTTTTGAGTAGTTTATAATTCGGAAGTTCATGATTGAGATAAAAGGAGGATTAAGAGCAATTTTAATTCATTTCCAAGTAAACATTGCTAATCGACAGTTAGAATTGTCAAATTTAAACGTGACTTTTGTACTGTTTTACAATATAATTTATAATTAACCTGATTAAGAGAGAAGATTTAGATTTATAAGTCATTAGTTTTAGGAGAAACAATTTAAAGCGCAATATAAAGCAAAAATTACAAAAACTCAAACTTGCTTTTTTGCAATGCATAATGTTGACCAAATTTATAAAATAGCTATTAGGCGGAAGAAAAAGTATGTAAGGAATGTTCTATTGCAACATGGAACTTTAGTTTAATCGAAAAGTATAATTAAATGTGTTCACGATATTACGAACTGCGTTGTGTGAATGAAAAGATTAATAAAATAGACAAATAAAAACTTCCTTTCGCAAAATTTTTCCAGTGAATAAGCACATCAATAATTGGTAATTCTTCAATATTCATGTAAACCTTGAGTCTACCAATCGGCGCAAGAGTTTAGTAAAATATCCGCCCATGTAGCTGCTGCCTCTTATCCTTATCAAATTAGAATCTTCAATGAAACTGATTTCTTCTTCTACTCCAATTCATTATACCAAAATATTTGCTATCTTTAAGGATAAAATTGTTCTCTTCTTCCTCCTGCTTTTTCTTGTTGCACTATCGCAATCCCAGGATCTCAAAATTTTTACTCAGTATAATGAAACAAGTATGTTCAATTTTAACTTGTTAAATCTGCTAAGTATGTGGAGATTTTGATGTTCGGAAACCAGCTTCGATCATGAGAATCAGGAATTGCACTGTCATCGAGGGTAGCCTGTGCATTTTGATGACTAAGATGCAACCAAATGCTTCCCTACCCAATCTCCGAGAAATTACTGGATTTCTTGTCATATATGATCTCACTGGACCGGATGGTTTGGCCACGCTCTTTCCTAATTTAACCGTCATTCGTGGAAGGTCCTTAATTTTCAATTTTGCACTTGTGATTCGAAGTACATCTTTAAAAGTAAATCTATCTATTTTTAACTTCATTATTTGTCACATTATTTCATTATCGAGTTTAGTATGCATTGCCCAACTCGGATAATAATAGAGTGTTAGCCTTCATTTATTATTTAAATTTACGCGAAATTTTATGTGCTTTGGTTGTCTCAAAGTCTCCAAAGCACTGGTCTTCGTTTTTTCGTTTTTTATTTATTACAATATGGAATATTATTGTGTTCGGCGCCACCCTGTTTAAGTCACCCTTAATATTAGTCTTTAATGCTTGACTCCGTTTCCTTCGTTGTTAGCAGTGTTGCCAGGGCGATAGTATGCGCGTAAGTATTTATAGTTCCAGCTAACAAAGATGATTGACATAAGAACGAAATGGCAATCTTTGTTTAACGTAAGATAGTTAAGCAATTTAATAACAACTAAGGGATATTACGGTGTTTTTTACCTTGTTATCTCCCTTGGTATTTGATTTGTTTATTTGTTTTTCTCCCTCTAATTAAGGTTCGTTAATATCTCGGCCTCCAGACAAATAATTGGTTGTCTTCTGAATTTTGTAACAAGAAGCCTATAACCGCAAACGTTTAGCTACTGTAAATGTGAATGACTAATAAATCGTTGATAAAAAAATATTACTGGTAAATGAAGTTGTGCTTTTATAATATACTGGTTGGTCTAAATAATTTATTTAGTAGCCGCTATATTCACCGTCTCCTAGTTTTTAATATTACCGATCTTTGCTATTGGAAACACGGAATTTGTGAAAATTTGTTTAATAGGCTTTGGTAACGTAATTCATGCGAGGCTAATGTTGTAAAGTGAACATGCTTCTTGCCAGGGGAATTAATATGTTAGTGTCTAAAATCAATGACTTTTGGAAAGTATTTAGGAAATAACTCAATTGTCTTCTCTAAAGTAGCTTTTCTTATTTGTATTGGTGGGTAATTATTAATTAAGTTGGCCAAAAAATCTACTTTGCCCAACATAAAAGACCTAGTAGTACTTGAATACCTCTCTTCAAGTAAGATAAAAAATTTCAGTATTTTTTCGTCTACTTTAGCTCGTTTATGAATGAGATTTTCTCGAACATGCTCTGTTTAGTTTTAAAATAGGAACGCAGTGGAAAGTGTGAACTAGGAAACATTGGAGCTATTGGCGAAGGTAATGTATAGAATTTACGCTAACGGGATTTTAGTTTTTAAAGCTATTTTTCCCTTTCTAGTGATCATAATCAGCGATTTGATGTTAGTTATGTTTGAACCTTTGCTATAATCTTTTTTTCACTCCAACGGCTGCTTTTATCTCTGTTTTAGACAATTAGTTTGCCATCACTTCGTGTCATTCAACGCGGTGGAGTGCGTGTTGAGATAAACCAAAATTTGTGCTATGTTAGAACCGTGAACTGGTCGTATATACTTGGGAATCAGACCTCCTCGGCAGCACCGATTCGTCTCTTCACAAATCGTCTAATTTGTCCCGATACTTGCCAACCTGAATGTACGTCTCCAACTGCTGAACCCATGGCCTTATCTGCTGATTCGAAATCCAAACCAAATAAGCAGGAAGCCATTCACTGCTGGTCGTCTTCTCTTTGTCAATCAAGTAACTAATTTATACTTTGTTATAATAACAATGCTGATATGCATTATACATTTCAGACAGTCGGTTGTATAATTATATGATTTACATTTGGAGGGTATTGGTTTTTACTTATTAATTACTCTCCTCGCTTTAATGAGTCTGTGCCATTAATGTTTTGTTTCACCCTAAAATGATCTTTCAATTGGACTTGTATTCACTTTTATATATGGCCTCTAACCATCTCCGGTCTTTCAAATAGTTCGGAGTACCAGAAAATTTGGAATTGATGTTCTTGTTAATCGCTATATACTTGTTTAACGGGGAGGTTTTCTGTGAAAATTTGTATAAAATTAATAGTTTTTCTTTTCACGGTCTTTGCGTCATCCCCAGTGAGGTGAATATATACTCCGTTAGAAATTGGAAATTGGAATCACTATAGCGAGAACTTAATTCCAAGGTTGTTCTCGCCATCTTATAGTGAGCCTCAGTCTGCTGCTATCAAACGCCTTTAGAGGTGTCTTATTGAAAGCCCACAATAAGGGAGAAGCCTCGATTTTAATTAGAATGAATTGAACCTCATTTTAAAATGCGATGGAGATTTGCATTTTGGTAATGTAAAATCCGTGTTTTTTCTCTTTTAAAGTCTGTTCTCCCAAATGCACAAATCTCGGTCTCGCTTGTCGCATGGATGACCCGTATACCTGTTGTCATGACGAATGTTTGGCAGGTTGCTATGGTCCCGGCTCAGACGCATGCGTGGCTTGCAAAGGAGCTCGTTATCGCGGTACTTGCGTGACCCACTGTCCTCCTGGAACGTACCTCTACTATGGTCGTAGGTGTATCACGGCTGAAGAATGTTTAAATATGACCTCTATCATTAGACAACCTCTTAGTGGTGTCGTGGTTGGAGCGAATGCAGTTTCTGACGCCAATACTTCTGTGAGCAATGACAGTGATGTAAAAACTACGCTTGTTCCAGATAATTCAGCTAAACCTAATGTGAATGGTGCTTCTGTGGGGGCTGCTAGTTCATTTTCAGGTGTTACTAACAGTGTTAATGGATCAACTCCCATTACGCGTCCTTACTCTATTCACCAGGGACGTTGTGTTCAAGAGTGTCCGGCAGGTTATGAGAGAAATGAAGTGTCTGGGGAATGCATTTATTGTGGTGATAAGTGTCGACGATTTCGTAAGTCTGCTGCCTATATTTCGCTCTCATCATTGTGATTTTTAGGCTGTACCAGCATGTTGATATCCAGTCTCAAGTCGCTGTCGAAATTGAAAGATTGCTACTCTGTCAATGATCTCTATATTGGTATTCATGAAGGTGATCCTAGTAAGTATCTGTGACCGTTTCTATAATGCGTATTTATTGTTGTTCGGTAAATCAACTTTGTTTTTTTTTCTGCGTAGCTTTAATACAAGAACAACTCGATGAAGCTTTCTCAGGTCTAAGAGAAGTGGACGTTATCAGGATCGTCAGGGCAACGGCTCTAACCTCACTCAATTTTCTCCGTCATATCACTCGAATCAATCCATCGAGAGCGTCACCTAACGTGTAAGTAGCTTATTTAAAACTTTTAAATGGTAAAAAATATCGATCAAGTCCATATCTTTGAAGAAGCTTGCAAATCAACAACGACTTTGAGACTATTTTTCTAAATTCTATCAACTTTTACTGTAATAATGGTATTGGGGACGATTACGCAGGTTTGTTCTTGGAAGTCATCGAAGTGAGAAAAAATTGAAGTGGATCGGAATGTTTATTTGGAGTGGAAACGGGTTTGTGGAGGATGTGTTAAAAAGGGGTACTTGTATTGCTTAATAGGAATACGATGGCGTATCCAATATCGTTAATATGTTCTTGCCAGGGGATCAAAATGGATATGACAACAGAGATTCACATGTATATCCAATGGCTGCTTTAATTATATATTAATCATGTTTTTTTTAATGGTCGAAATCTCCAAATTTTACTCTCCGCACCTCTTTTCTTGTTAATAAGTACATTAAAATCGTTTTATCGATTTAAACTTTTTATTTGGTGTGTTTAATATTTCCTTCAATTGACTCGAAGCGGTCTTAAGTACATAATTGATGGTTCATATCTCTTGGGTAGCAGAATATTCGTGCCGTCAAAATACTCAGGAGCCCAGTAAAATCATTCGGTGAAAAATGAATATTCTTAATTGATTCCTTTAGTCACAACTGGCTATGTCAATTAAAGTTTTTTTCCCACCATTTCTTTTAAAGCACAGTGATTGAGATAAGACAGAACGACAATCTGGTTGATCTCTGGCCACCTCCGGAGAAAAATGGGACTGGTGTTCAGGTGGTTTCTGAGGGTCTGGTGTATTTCATTCTCAATCGTTACCTCTGCCCGCAGAAAATCACGAATCTTGTGAAAACTGGAGCTCTCCGACTTCCTGGTAATCGGGATTTCCGAACCGAAGAACGTGAAATTGCTGAAGCCACCAATGGAAAAATGGGTTTCTGTACGTCCTATTTTTACTTAATAGTTCATTTATTAATACGTCCTTCATAGAACCCTCCTCTCTCAATGGGGGTAGAGATGGGGGGTGGATAGCCCAAGTACTCACGAAATGAATACCTTCAAAGCTGCAAATGCTATGATAATAAAAAATTTTGTAAATATATCGCTCTGTTACAAACTGAAAGTTTAAAACGGTTGAGAAGTAATAGTATCTTACTTCGCCTTGAGTCACGCTAGTTGCTTAGACGACATGCTAATTTACGTGTAACATCATGAACTTACCGTCTAATAGGAGTTCCGGTAAGGAGCAAGTCTTATAATTCCTAGAAATGGCCTTTCATGCGTAATACATCAGTATTTAATTCAACACAAATCTTATTATTAGACTTTTTAAAAGAAGACGCGTCGAAGCTGTTGTTTGTTGCAAAAAAATCTTACTCCCTCGAGTAAACTATAAATGTAACAAATTAACTAATCGAGGTACTTGAGATTAGGATGTATTCATTGGGGGGGGGGGGGGGGGGGGGTGTAAAATGTAGGCGATCGAAGATTAAATTTAATTTTAGGAAAATTAATGGGAGTGGAACTAGGAGGAGGGGGTAATGGGGTTAGGAGAAGAGCCTCGAGAAATCTTTACTTCCGGTTTATTGGGTTTGAACGGTGGTTGTTCCTGTCTCAATCTCCAGTTTTGGTCGACGTGATGGTATTATTCATAATATCGGTATAAGGCTTCTTTTTTAACAGCAGTGTTCACCGCGCTTGTTTGCCGATTTAAAAGTCAAGAAATCGTCCCAAATTCATTGATATGAATTGTCCATCTGATCACTCTTTATTTCTAACTAACAATGATTCGGGTGGCATTTTATGGAATTAGTTGAGCTGCGTACTCAAGTTGAGGTCTTATTTCCTTACATTTTTTAATAATTTTCTATAATAATAAAAGTTTTCTCATTCAAATAAATGATGTGACGTTTTTAATTACTCAATATAATTATAAGCATATCACCATATGTGCAATCTCAGTAAAAAAAAGCAGTCCATTGTGAAACGGATGACGGTTTTTGAACTATATAATGGTAAATCAAATATATTTGAGTCGAATCTCAGAAGTAGATGCTATTTGATCTCTGTTGTTTCAAAAAATAAATTTTATGCAAAAATGAACTATTCAGCAAGTTAATTTTAACGTCCTAGCATATTCTGTAAGTTTGTTGAAATTTGGTTTATTGCAAAGTTGCTGTCTGCTATAATTTAGAAGTAAAGTCTATCACGAAAGAAATTGCATTTTTTGTTGAGTTCTGGAATTCCTAGCTGTTTTAGGCTAATTAGATTTCAACTAGTTATTAACCTTCCAAGTGATTATCTGGGATAAAATCTTGAAACAAATTCGGGGAGTCCGATATTATTTCAGTTTGTTTTAATTGAATGGTCTATAATAAACTACTATTTGACACGAAACGACCAGCTGCCTAAAAATTAATGTCATGATATTTTTGGTTTCTAAGTCGAAGGGATAGATCGTCGATCTTGTGACTTGTGGGCCTAAATTATGCTTCATTGGCTGAATAGAACTCTCATATCCAGGTGTTGTACAAGATGTGGGGTTTGAGAATGAACTTCCTGGTAGAAACAACTGAAGCATGGTAGAAAATTGTTTTAAATCGGGTGATGAATTAAGTCTGCCTAAAGGCTATCAGATGATCAGTTGTCACTCAAATGTTAGAGCCATTATTCGTGCTCAGAAGCATTCAACAAAAGCTATAGTACACAATTTTGGTTCTACTCGAGAGATTATTCGGTACCAATCCTATACCCGTGGTGATTGTTGCAAAATTCTTTCAGCGAGCTAGACTATCCGTGTTGTTTAAGAGTAAAGTTTAGGTTAATGAGCTAGTTTAAGGGAAATTAGATCGGTTGAATGAGTAATTGAGATTAAGTCAACCTTTTAATTCGATATACTTCATTGCCTATGACTTAAATGAAATCTCTTCTTTTCCTAACTTAGATCGCTAGGTCAATCAATTAGTAAGTGTGCTGTTCTGGTTGTGTGAAATGAGATAGCTATGTTTAGTTGTTTAGATTGTATCTTAGTGTTTTACTATTTTGGTTACTTTGCGGTATTCGACTGATACCTTGCTTTCAAAGTATTTTGCTCCTTTGATCAGGTGAGTCTAATCAAATATCATTGGAGTTGAAAAATATCTACTCTTCCTCGGCGGTTATTCGGTGGCCTCGATTCTTTGAAACGACTTCTGGTGGCGGTGGGCAAAGTGCCGCCTCTACGCTCGTCTTAATCTTTTACCAGGCAACGTAAGAGAGAGGGAATATGTTTTTATTATTTATTACGCTTTTTTTATTATTCTGACTTCAATTTTTATGCATATTTTTGTAGAACTAAAAATCTTACTGTCTACTCCAACCGAATGTCCTGCGGAGAGGACTCGTAGGTTCTTTTGCTTTTGTCTACTGTTTATTAATTGTTATTAATACCCACAAGGGGTCAGCAGATGTTTTGGCTAACATTGAGCTAACCGAGTCAGGTTTATATTTATTTATTTCAAATGGCAGGCGTTTTGATAGTTATCATTAGCCCTTTAGCTGACTTCGGGCTTCACAGGGGGAAGGGACATCAAAGTAACAGAAAGTCGAGGGGGGGGGGGAACAGAAGAGTGATTTAGAGATGTAAAGAGAGACATGAAGGCAGAGAAAAGGTAGGATGAGTACTGCGCCAGAATTCAATCGCCAGTTAATAGACTTTTTTGCCATATGAGTATACGTTGCCCAGGGTGCACCACGTGGAGGTAAGTCTATCACGCACCCCAGTCAGGTTTATATTGATTTGGGCTATCAGATTGCACAGTAGACGGGGTAGCTCACTATCTCTAAAATTTAGATGTCAATGTTTAGTGCTTTAATCAAGAGTGGCTGTTTTTACCAACTCCATTCATATTTTCCACCGTACAGTAGTTGAGAAGGCAAATGATCATGCCTCTTCCTGAATCACTTGTCCCTTTCACTTTTCGTAAAGTTTTTTTTAAGTTTGATTAATCGTCAGTTGCGTAGTTTAAAAGGAACAAAAAACAGATTTTAAATAGCCATTGAGGAATAACTATAATAACACTAGGATTTTTACAAGCGTGTAGTTTATTGAAGAAAATTAGCTCAATTCACTTCAAAATTTGAATCCGTTGGTATTTGTCATGAAATTATCGGTGTCGTCTCACCTTATCAGAAAGAATGAAAGATATGTTTCATATCTCTCCAATACGAGTAGCGTTTGATAAATATATAATTTTGGGTGAAGGTAAGGGGTATGCCCTCTTAGCACACAGTGGAAATTAATCTACTTCCTCCATGCCGTTTTTTTCACAGATGGAAAATGATTCCTTCAGTGTGCAATTCCTCCGTGGTAGAGAATGTGAATGGCGATGGCGTTGCATTTTGTAGCAAAACTCTGACCTCCCTTCAACCCGCCACTCGTTACGCTGTCTACGTAGAGTCAAAAACGCTCTTCAGTCAACGTGGCGCTATTAGCAATATTGTCTACTTTAATACAACCCCGAGCAGTGAGCTGTCGTCTTTCTCCTCTGCTTAATTCTTCTGTCACTGGCTGTGCATTGTCTGTTTTTTTTTAGATCCTTCCTACTCCCGTTTGGTAAAGCTTCAAGCTATGAACAGTTCGTGCATTCACGTGAAATGGTCCCCACCCCAGTTCAGCAATGGTCCTCTTGCGGTGTATCTTCTTTGGTATCGTATGATACACATAGATCCGGAATCATATTTCTACGGGGATTTTTGCTTCATGAGTAATTACTAAAGCACTGTCCCATTGTGTGCCACTGGGTTATTTTGATTTATGAACCTTGCATCATTTTAGCACCTGATTGGCTGTCGTCCTCCATCAAGACACCGCGTTACATTGGTACCTCGAGTTTAACTGGAATGTACTGGTCTTATGCGTAAGTGATAAAAAGATGTGCCAGAGCTCTATTGATGCAATTTTGGTTGAATAATGGTTGGGTTTGTTGTTTTTTTAAAGGAAAATGCAACAAGGCTTCTGTTCGAAGTACCAATGCTGCAATCCTACTTCGCATAAAGACTTATGGTCGATTGATTATCGTGATGAAAATCTTCCAGTGGTTCTTGGTAAGTAATAATAGCTCCCGAACATTATTATTACTGCAAAACAAAGTCAAAATCTGTTTTCAGATGAAACCATCTTAATGAGCATTTTTTGTAATGGGTGATTTCACGTTTAATGACCTAAAGAAAGTTGCTCTTATCCACATCAAATATCAAGTTGTAACTGATCTAGGTATTACTTTTTATTCCTTATACTCGCCCACCTTCAGTACTGCGTTGCAGGATCGTTCGTGATGGGAGGAACCACTCGTTGACGAGCTTTTTTGGGGGACAGATAGAGCTTCGAGATAAATGTGGAAGTGTAAGGAGGGCAGGATCGTATGTAAAGACGCGGAGCTGGAGTGTTGCGTGAACATGGCGGTTTATGTAAGGGGCTTATTGCGCCTTTGAGAAAAATTGGGACAGTCCACTACAGAAAGCAATTAAGGTTAGGCACAATCTTGGTAATAACACACTTTGTAGATGTCATTACCTGAATCAATCAAATGATAAGATTCTCTTTTCTATCTATAAATTTAATCGGATAAAAGATATTGAGAGTACTTCTTTGCTCGTATATGCCAATAGTTTGCTTACTGATCATGTTTGTCGTATACAAGTTTCACAGTCGATAGGTGGATACTCGGTCATTTTATAATCCAACTCTCAGCTTTGCATGCTCTTACTCAAGGCAATCGCCTAACTCGAACCCTGAAAGACAATGAGGTTGGCCTCCTTGTGGTGAATGCTGACAATTCTGTCTCTAATTCTGGGAAAGCTCTTCTCACCAATACCCTCTCATATCTTCGCAGTTTCTCTCAATACGTTGTTGAGCTACAAGCGTGTCAGGTTAGTCTTTTTCCATATTCTTCTTTAATAATATGCAATGCTCACTGTAAGCTTATGACTGATGCAGTGCTAAATTAATCAACCTAATGTCTTAGGTATCGCATAAAAACTAGCTAGCTTATTGTGGCACTTGTACTGGTGAAAGTATACGCAAATTGTTGGTTTAGTGCTTCATATTTATTTCTGCTTAGTCCTGGATCAAGAGGTTGATGATAATTCACTATTTTTTGCTAGCCGCTTTAGTTAATTCTGGAGTCAGCAAGAGGAGCGGTAAAATTCGAGTTTCTTACACGAATAGTTCCAGGTTACTTCCTACTGAAGTCAAGTACTGCCAGGGTTTGTCTGATGGAGTTTAACTCATTGAAGCCTGTGTACAAATTCCCAGGCATTTTAGCATGAACACGTCTAGGTATTATGTCAATTAAAACCTTTTGAATTGATAGACGAGCGATGCTTTATGACAGGGAGAAATCATTCGTACTTAATTCATAGTGTTTAATAGGGCTAATACACGTGGTCAGACAATAAGAGCCTGGATATCCAAATTATTTCATTAATAATCTTTTTTGTTTTACTGAATAGAAGCCAGCTGATGATGCACCTTTTCCCTGGGCTAAAAATATGAAACCGGACTCGTCTGTGGAAATTGAACTTACGCAGGAATGGATGGTGTACTTGAAGCGATATTGCAGTGAGAAGGTCTTCAAAACCCAGAGGACTCTTCCTGCAGGTATAGGGCTGTTTTTTCTCCAAATCAAAAAGTTATTCCATCACAGAGAGGGCTTTTATGCTAACATTCTTGGAATAAAAGGGCGTGATCACTTTCGTGTCGATCAAGAGATCTATCGTGCATAAATGTTCAATCTTAAGGTATTTAGGGGTATTTCTACTTATTTGCTTGTATTTATTCCACTTTTTATTTTCACTTCTTACAGTTGGAGTTGACAACATAGACAACAGTCTTATCTCCTCCATTCAGGAATCTCCAGATTCCGTCCTGGTTTTGTGGTCAGAACCGTCAAATCCAAATGGAGTCATCTTATACTATGTGCTGCGATATCGAAGAGCTGAACAGTTTTCGTCTGTGGATAGCAGTACAACCATGTCGCAAAATATGTCAGAGGTAAGTCTTAATTTTCAACTTGGTGAAAAATTTTCGATCGATGGCTTGAGACTTATCAAGTAATTACTCCCAAGTTTGCGGAATCTCTTCTTTTCTAGCTCTAGTTGGCAAGAACTGTCATCTTTAGAGCCCCTTGGATGAGGAGTTATTAGTCTTCCTACCTCTATTAATAGTTTTAATTTTGCCCATTTTATTATATCGCTTTCTCGTTAAGACCAATTGGTAAAAAATCTGCGGCTTTTGGTGTGCGAGGTTTTGTAACCAGCAAGCAATGAACTTGCTAAAATTAGTAGTCGGGATGTCACTAAACGTATCTTCTTTCTAGTTTTCTTCTCTCTCGAGTGAAATAGATCGTAACATTGATCATATATTTGAAATTGACTTCTCGTTGCAAGCTTCCTATTCGCTCGAAAAACCGCTCAACTTGGGGGTGGGGGGTGGGGTGGGGTGACGGATGTTTGGGTTTCAATATTACGCTTATTTGAGATAGAAAGAATGAAAATGAGGAACTTAATCCTGAAAAGTAATAAATTTCCCTTGGATTTAAGTTTGTCTCGGTCCCTTTATGATTTTAGTCGATTGACGACCTTCAGGGGAGTTTCTTTATAGGACTGATATGACACTGGATTAGACTGTGTTGAATATTATTTTATCACAAATAAATACTTCCGTTTATATCTATTTTCTTTATAATCGCTCGATTGTAACTTGGCCATGTCTACTGTTACAAGGTATACTACTTTTGCTCAGATAAGGCAGGAGGGCTTAATCAAGCAAAAGTTGCGTGGTTGCCAGACGTTCATTAATGGGTCATGATCTGTATATACACTTATTATAGTGTTTGCTCGGATTTTGATTGGCTGGAGACTAATTTGACCATCGAAGTGTATGAAGAAATGTCGGAATATGGTTGGTCAGACAGTAGACTAATTGATTAATAGCAATTGTCTTCGTTTTACCTCAACTTTCAATGTGCCGGAGTATTGTCCTCTTGCATGTATTTCACAGATTACTTTAATCAGGGAGAAAGTGTGCATAATAACTTAAGATTAATTAGTATCAGTATGCTCAAGGCATTTTGCCCCTTGAAAGGAATAGATTTTTACCTAATCTCCCTTTTTCATAGCGACTTCTAATTAGCAACAGTTGTCAC